AGCACTTTATGGACATTCCCATGATTATTTGAATTAGACATTCAGCACCATCAAGTGGTCACGATTGTCACTTTATTAGCACCTTGATGTGTATGTTTTATATTTGCACTTTGTCACTTTATTAACCACCTATCATGTGATTTGTGCATTCATACGTTTATATACATGATATTGATCCATTTATGGTTTAGCGCTGCACCTCTATTTATTTTGATTATCTTGGAGGTTGTTTTTGGTTGCCTTTTCGGTGCATTAGCTGCTTATGGTCTTTAGCGCTCGCTTTTTCTGCTTTATATGTTTGTGGGAAGAGTATAGGGCAATTCAGAAGTATCTAGTGCTGAAAATTTAAAAAAAAAGACCTGGTTTTGTAATTATACCTTTGAATGACCTATTCATTTTACCTCGTCTTTGTTAATTTTGCCTGGACTTCAGCTATAAATTAAATTTTTACCACACATTTAAAAAACAAAAAATTTCAAACACTGTTTCATAAAGCCAACATTTTTCACCAATCCAATTGCCAAGAGTTACCACTGGTATTACAAATTTCAACCAATGACAACACACTGCATCTTGCAATGTTTACAGCCAAGCCCAAGCCTCTGTAGTCTCAGAGTAATCAAACCTGATCTGAAAGTAGAAAAGAATAACTGCTTTCAGGCCCAGAGCAGAGCCCTCATTCGTCCCTGCAACAGAAATCACTAAAGCGGCATCTATAGCCAAAGATGGGAAAGATTACAGGATACTAATCTTCTGAGAACTGTCTTGTCAATACTGGGCCAGGAGATGCTGGCAGGAACAATGAGAGTCTTTCTGACTGTGCAGCCATGCATAGGTGCATGTCTATAAAGCGGCCGCAGTAGTGCTAGCGGTTACATAATAGAACGTGCACCTTTGCTGGCCTTTACTCAACCCTGAGAAAAGTTCATACTTTTCTAAAGTACACCTAGTACAAGTAGTGCAGTAACCAGATTTAAACATAATAGTGATAACAGAATGGATAATTATTTAATTGGTGGTAGGACGTTAAATAGTACAAAAAATTATGGCCTGCCAAAAACTGTGAAACCAACTTAGTCACAGTGACAGCTAGAAGAAAAATGACTGACAGCGCTAAAAAAGTGTAGGCAAGTATAAAACCACAAGCAGCTGATGACAGACTTATCTTATTTAGCAGCACAAAAAATAAATGATAATGTACAAATTGTAGCAATTCCAAACAACCAATTAGAACTCATCTCTTGTTGAGAGATGGAAGTATTTTTTGCACATAATTATTGCTCACTGTTGATGAATGGAACAATATACTGTATGCTTCCTACTGATGAACCTTAGAAGACCTGATGTATGCCTGAAAAGTGAGCTACTAAAATGACAAATACATACACACATATATAAGTGTGGACATCAAGAGAATTTATTTATGTATCCTATCATGTTATCCTATGTGTTCAAGCACACATAGACTGTAATCAATGTTTTTTGTCAGGGGCGTTTTTTAGCTGGAAAAAAAAAACAGAACAAGTGGGTTTCTAGAGGAGTGTTTTTTTTGCTGTAAAAACGCTCTAACGCTGAAAAACGCAGTAAATTGCGGCAAACCAGTATTTTTGGATGTTTCTATTACCAAAAAAAAAATTGGGGGGAATGCTAAAAAACGCAGCAAAATTCCGCTAAACGCTAATGCAAAAATGCTGAAAAACTCACATTTTTAACGTGACTTTACACAGCTAGTGTGCATGGAGCCTTAAACCTAAAAGCAAACATTTATTATGTTGCAGCTTACCAATTCTTAGATGTAACAGCTGCTTTTTTTTGCTTTCTTTATTCTATTTTCATCTGGTGATCTGACCAGGTCTGTTGTTTTTCAAAATAACAAGTTTTACTGCAGATTTAGCAGTTATTGAAATTAGATAAACCATTTACTACTGACAGTGGTGCTTACAATGATCAGCATTTATTTATTTATGTAAAACCTTTATCTCAAAAGGAAAAAACAGTTTGCTGTAACTGCTTATAAAGTGTCAGATGGAGTCTGGCTTCAATTTGTTAGTGTATCTAAATCTGTTAGTCCATCTAACATGACTGACAGTGCAGCTGTCTGCTGTGCCCCTTGTTCTCATTCATCCAGAATGTAGGCTCTCTAATACAGGAGGTGTGTTACTGGCCAGATCGCCAAGTGAAAACAGAAGGAAAAAAGGCTAAATAAATAAATAATGCAGCCATCACATCTAAGGTTTGGTAAGCTCTAATATATTACATTTTTGGTTTTGGATTTAATACTGCTTTAGGCTACTTTCACACTGAGGAGTTTTTGAAGCGCTTTTGCGTTAAAAGAAGCGCCTGAAAAGCTCAAGAAAAATGCTTTCCTATGTATGTGAATGTATATCTTTGTATGTTTTCACACTGAGGTGTTGTGCTTGTGGTACGATATAAAAACTCAGGCTTGTAGCATCTTTGGGGGATGTTTCGTGAGTTAAAAAAAAAGCCCCAAAAACGCCTCTTCCCACTGAAATCAATAGAAAACACCTGAAAAGAGCCTCAAAAACGCCTGAAAGGTACCTCAAAAATGCCTTTGAGAAGTGTTTTGGTGTAGTTTTTAAGTCACATGTCCTTTAAAGATGCTCAGAAAGCACAGCAAAAGCGCGCTAAACATGCCTATGTATTTTTGCTGTGTTTTTGCGGTGGATCAGTGTGAAAGTAGCTTTAATCCTACCATAAAGTGGTAGAAAGGCTGATTTCTTACACAAGCTGTGGTCTTTGTTACTTTAAGTAGAAATAAGGGGATTCTGGATTCTACCTTCAGAGCTGGTCAAAGTGATTATTGCCAACAGGTGGTGTTCAAAAATACAAATGTCAGAAAGTATAATGCAGGCCAGACATGGTTCGAACTCTGAATGATTTTTCGTCCGAAAATCGAAACATCGTTCGTTCTGTAATCCGATGGTGCCACCAATGATTTCGAACATTGGTCGTTTTTCATGAACTTTCCAGCATGCCGGATAAATGAAATGAGGAGGAACCACGAAAATCGGCCGATGCCATTGCCCCACTAACAGAGTGAAAATCGGCGGATTATTCTTAGGTCTGATTTTCGTACGAAAATCGTTCGGAATTTGAACCATGTATGGCCTGCATAAGACTAGCCCACAGCCCTAAATTCCCGCTGAATATTGCAGAGCAAAAATCAACACCCACTTGGTTGTTCCAGTCTTCATAACTAAATCCCATCATGGAACTCCACTACAAAGGCGTCAAAACATTTTATTCACAAATGGATCATTGATGGGAAATTAAAAAGTTCTAAAATAGGATGTTTCCTTAAATAACAACTGCACATTTTACTTACTCATGTAAACGCTTTCATCTCCAACATTTCCCTCTACACTCCCAGGTGATACATAGTTTATCAAAGTCAATTATTCGACAGTGAAGCCCTCAGCCACTTAAATGTAAGCAGAAACTGTTCCACTTTTGCTCTCGGCAAAATAAAATCTCAGCAGATCGAGTTTCGCCCATTATGAATGCAACTGTGCTGGATTTGAAACCGCAAGATGTCTTAAGAAAAAGATTTGAAAACAATCCCAGTGCTTATTAAAGTCTAATTGGACAAAATCACTTTACAAAAAAATGATTAAAAATAGATCTAAACCCCAACTGGATGTAAGTTTGTTTGCAAAGCAGAAAGTTTTCTTTGCGTATTAAAAACAATTCAAATTTTTTACATAATGTACTGTTTTTTCACTTTATTTTCTTAGGCCTCATGCACATAGGAGTTTTGTACTGCAGCTTTTAGCGGCTATAGACATTTTTGTTTTCCTGCTTCCAAACGCCCCTCCACGTTAGCCTATGCATCCATGCACACATAGACTTTTAGCAGCGTTTGGTGGCAGGAAAAAAAACCCGCTGCCAGTGCGTCCAGGAGCAGCAGCATTTTGGCAGAAAAAACATTTGACGCTTGAAAATGAATGTAAACGCATGCTAATGCTAGGTGCATTTAGCACTTAAGCATTAATTCATTTCAATTGTCAGAATAAATATTGTTGAATTAGCGCCCAAGCGCCTGATGCCTGTAAATGCGCCTAAATGCTTGTAAAAAGCTTTTACACACATTACACACATTTTCTGCAAAAACACTGCTGCCAGGAGGAAAAGCTTCTACGAGAGTTTTCAAAATGTCCTGTGTGCATGAGGCCTTAGCATCGTAATGTGGGCTTAATTTATCGGTCACATATCCCATGTTCCTCCTTCTACTCCCCAGTGGGATTTCTGTGATGCCCCTAAACTTGCCGGGGGAAACATTTTGCGCTAATCACATGTTCTTGAGCCTTTTAAAACGGTAGTAAACTCCGCTTTTTATCTTATATAGTTAAGCCTATAATAACGCTTGCCTTTATGTACAGTGAACATCTCCTAAACATGTATAGTTTAGGAAATGTTTACATGTGTAATAGCCGGAGACTACAACATTGCATGCGCACTGCGCTATCAATGGACGGCATGCCATCCATTGAGAGAGCTGTGCCGTGGCCATGCCTCCCGAGTGCACGTCATCGTGGCTCAGCCATTTCAAAAGATGGAATTGATGTCAGCGGTGACAGCATGCCGCAGGAGGGTTACTTTTTTTAGGCAAGTCTGTCATAAAGTGCTAGTATGCAGTGCAAACTAGCAGATTATGGCATGAGCCTGCAGGGAGACCAGTTTTGTTTTTATAATTTTACCAAGGATTTCTACCGCTTTAAGTGTGTAGTAAGTACCAACAGACAATTTAATTAAAGTGATTCTAAAGTCTTATTTAACCTGTTGCCGACCGCAGATAGCCGAATGACGGCTTCACTGCGGCCGGCCAGTTCTGGGTGGACGTCATATGAAGTCCCCCCAGAACGCGCTCTCCTGCGCGCCCCAGGGGGCGCGCACCCGGCGATCTCCGTGATCGCTGTGTCTTACGGACACAGCTGATCACGAGATGTGGTAAAAGGCCGATCATACCGGCCTTTTACCACGTGATCAGCGGTGTCCAATGACACGCTGATCACAGGGAAATGCAAGTGCCGGTTCTCGGCTGCACTTTCCTCACGCTGTCAGATCGTGAGGAAAGTACTGCCGAGAACCGGCAGTTGTCAGAGCGAGGATCGGCACCGATCATCAGGGCCACTGATGATCAGTGCCCTGATGATCGGTGCCCAGCAGTGCCACCCACAAGTTCCGCCCACCTGTGCCCAGCAGTGCGCCCACTAGCTCCGCCCACCTGTGCCCAGCAGTGCACCCACCTGTGCCACTCTGCAGTGCCACCTACCTGTGCCCAGAAGTGCCACCTACCTGTGCCCAGCAGTGCCACCCACCTGTGCCCACCCACCTGTGCCCACCACCCACCTGTGCCCACCAGTGCCACCCACCTGTGCCAGTGCCACCCACCAGTGCCCACCCACCAGTGCCACCCACCAGTGCAGCCCAGCAGTGCTGCCAGTCAGTGCCACCAGTCAGTGCCCAGCGGTTGTGCCAGTCAGTGCCGCCAGTCAGTGCCCAGCAGTGATGCCAGTCAGTGCTATCTATCAGTACCCATCATCAGTGTCACCTATCAGTGCCGCCTATCAGTGCTGCATATTAGTGCCGCCTATCCGTGACACCTCATTAGTGCTGCTATCAGTGCCGCCTATCCGTGCCACCTCATTAGTACTGCCTATCAGTGCCCTTTAGTGCTGCCTATCAGTGCCCATCAGTGCTGCCTATCAGTGCCCATCAGTGCTGCCTCATCAACGCACATCAGTGAAGGAGAAAAAATACCTGTTTGAAAAATTTTATAATAGAAACAAAAAAACTTTTTTTTTTTTTTTTAATTTTTTGCAATTTTTTAATTTATAGCGCAAAAAGTAAAGCGCCCAGTGGCGATTAAATACCACCAAAAGAAAGCTCTATTTGTGAGAAAAAAATGATCAAAATTTCATATGGGTACAATGTTGCATGACCGCGCAATTGTCAATCAAAGTGCGGCAGCTCTGAAAGCTGAAAATTGGCCTGCTAAGGAAGGGGGTATAAGTGCCCGGTAGGCAAGTGGTTAAAAAAACAAAAACAAAAAAAACAAACAAACATGTCTATAATTATCTGCTGTGTGCAGTGGTTTTGCACAGAGCAGCCTGGATCCTCCTCTTCTTGGTCCCCCTCCAGTGCTCCTGGTCCCTCCTTCCTGTCAGACCAAATTACTATGAGAGCACCCGCTGCTCCATGTGTCTATTCACACACGGAGCTGTGGCTCGGCCTTGCCCCCCCTCTCTCTTCTCATTGGCTCACTGACTGTGACTGACAGCAGTGGGAGCCAATGGCTCCAGCTTCTGTCTCAGCCAATGAGGAGACAGGGTCCCGGGATAGCGAGACTCCAGTGCACATCGCTGAATTGAGAGGGGTTTTAGGTGATTAGGGGGGCTGGGGGGATGCTACACAGAGAAGGTTTTTTACCTTCAAGCATAGAATGCATGAAGGTAAAAAACCTTGAGCCTTGACAACCACTTTAAAGTATCAAATGTCTATAAATTATTTTGATATGAGTATATGTTTGTGACAATTTTTCATGTATGAACACAGACATATTCTCCCTTTCCCTCCTGAGGAAGCGGATTATGTCCAGGAAACATGTAGAAGAACTAGGGTCCTTATTACAACATGTATATAGGTGTCCTTTTATGAGAGAGCGGGATCCTTGTATCGTACTGATCTCGAAAATCATTAGTGGTTTAGGAAAACAGAGATGATCATGCTGATAACATATCCCTGATGATCTGAGCTGCCAGTTAATCGAAGGAGCGATGTCAGCCCTTTTATTTGGGACTTTCCCTCCAGCAGAGCTGGTGAACAGAATGCAGCGGTAAAAAACCTTAGTAAAGACTGAACATAACAGCCCATTTTATGAGTATCAAAGTTTTGTAATGTCTCTCTTCATTATGAACACAGAGATCCCTTCAGCGGATCCCTTAGTGACATACTGAGTTTGCTGTGGGACAACGTGGAGTTTTCATGTAGTTGGGAATGTGCTCTGAACTCATCAGTCACAAACATATCCAGAAACACAGTCCTTGAACATTTACTACACAAACTGCCATGGTGCACATACATGTAAACATTCGAGCAAGAGGTGTGAGGCCCTATTATGAAAGCCAGGAGTGAGCCACCTTGGTGTGATGATATTGGGATGTGTTGCTAGACTGTCTCCGTTTACTGGTTTCAAGAACTAGTGGTTTAGGAAACAAGATCTCTCAGAAGACCTACGATCAGAATTGTTGACTTCAGAACTGGAAATACGGTTTGTCCTGATGTTCATCCAGCAACACATGATCTACAAAGCGGAGTAAAGGTAGCATTTCAGCCCTTGCGCGCGTCATTCCTGTAAAAATGGGTTGCATGGCAGGAAACAGAAGATCCCACCAGCTAACAGACCTACAGAAATCTCTGGCACACACATCTCAATAAGGAAAACATTCAACATGAATGAGTACTGGGAGGACACCGCTTGAGAAAGCCAAGCAGCACGTTTTGAAGTTTCTGGAGTTCCACTGTACTTGGCAAAATAGACAGATGAAACCAAGATGATTGTTTGGGACAGAGCTGGAGAAAAAAAGGCACAGCACACCAACATTCAAAATAGTAAAACAGGAGGGACCATGGTTTGGGCTTTAGGGCCCGATTGTTGCGTGTATGGGAAAGGAGTTTTTGTTTTTAGATCGACCTTCTCCGCCTTCATTCGGAGAGGTGATGATGCAACAGGACAATCAGTTCAACAAAACATGGCTGCAACAGCACAGTGGAATGGATTCTCAACCCGAATTCTGTGGTTGATAAGAGGAGCGATTCACACCAGACATCCCCAAGAAATTACCGCTACATTAAACAGTTTTTGTAAGGAGGGTCCCATTTACCGGCTTAAAAGGAAACGTTTTGGTTTAGGTACAATTTATTTTAAGGGTCCAAAGGTTTATGGATACTTTTTTCTCCCTGATTTGGAATGGATTCGGGTCAATTAAACCGGAGTCACTAAATAAATATATCTATTGTATGTGCTTTTTCCCAAAGGTATGTAGGAATTTAGGGTTTATGGAGTGTTTGATTTGGGACACTTCAAGTAAGGAGTCACTAAATAAATATATATGTATGTGCTTTTAAGGATGTATATTTTTTATACACTATAATTAAAAATTATATTTTGTTTTATATAACTTTGCGGTTGTTATCCTCGGGTAATTCAAAAGTCTAATTATATTTTTTATTTTCTAATTCTTTTTAGCATCTAAGGACTTGTGATCCCCACAGCCTTGTTCAGCCATATTCTATCTACAAGCAATTGCTTCAGCATCAGCTGCATATCTCTGCTCTGAACTGGCTTCCCAATATTGATAGCATTGGAACGTGCCTGCGAAATATGGGGTCTGATTAAATAAAACTAGGGCGTGCAAAATCTGGTGCAGCTCTGCATAGAAACCAATCAGCTTCCAGGTTTTATTGTCAAAGTTTAATTGAATAAGCTGATTGGCTATGATGCACCAGATTCTGAGTGCACCAGTTTTAGTAAATCTCCCCCTAATTGTCAGGGGAACTGCTTGTAGTCTTCACCATGAAACAGGGTGCAGGTGTACAGCAAGAATATAGTTATCACCATATAACAGGAAGTTCCTGAACAAGGACTTCATGGCAGTGTCATCAGGTATTTTTAAATGGAAGTTAAAAAAAATGAAAGCAACTTTTAAAAGTACATAACATGTTAAAGCTTATTTGAGATTTTTATGATTGATGATTAGATCTATAGTATATTAACCTAAAAATATATTTTTATGAGAGCCTATAAGAAAGACTAGTAAATACACTATCTTGCCAAAAGTATTGGGATGCCTGTCTTTACACACATGAACTTTAATGGCATCCCAGTCTTAGTCCATAGGGTTCAATATTAAGTTGGTCCATCCTTTGCAGCTACAGTATAATAGCTTCAACTGCTGGGAGGGCTGTCCACAAGGTTTAGGAGTGTGTCTATGGCAATGTTTGACCATTCTTCCAGAAGCACATTTGTGAGGTCAGGCACTGATGTTGGATGAGAAGTCCTGGCTCACAGTCTCTGCTCTAATTCATCCCAAAGGTGTTCTATCGGGTTGAGGTGCAGGCCAGTCAAGTCCTCCTCCCCAAACTCTCTCATCCATGTCTTTATGGACCTTGTTATGTGCACTGGTGCGCAGTCATGTTGGAACAGCAAGGGGCCATTCCCAAACTGTCTCCACAAAGTTGGGAACATGAAATTGTACAAAATGTCTTGGTGTGCTGAGGCCTTAAGAGTTCCCTTCACTGTGCAGTACCGTTCTCCTGGCAACCACCAAACCCAGACACATCCATCGGACTGCCAGACAGAAAAGTGTGATTTGTCACTCCAGAGAAAACATCTCCACTGCTCTAGAGTCCAGTGGCAGCATGCTTTACACCACGGCATCCGATTCTTTGCATTACACTTAGTGATGTAAGGCTTGGATGCAGCTGATCGGCCATGAAACCCATTCCATGAAGCTCTGTACGCACTGTTGTTTTGCTAATCTGAAGGCCACACAAAGTTTGGAGGTCTTTAGCTATTAAATCTGCAGACCGTTGGCGACTTCTGCGCACTGTGCGCTTCAGCATGTGCTGATCCCGCTCTGTCATTTTACGTAGTCTACCACTTCGTGGCTGAGTTGCTGTTGTTCCCAGTTGCTTCCACTTTGTTATAATATCACTAACAGTTGACTGTGGAATATTTAGTGGCAAGGACATTTCATGGATGGACTTATTGCACACGTGGGAACCTATTACGATACCACGCTTGAATTCACTCCTGAGAGCGACCCATTCTTTCACAAATGTTTGTAGAAGCAGTCTGCATGCCTAGGTGCTTCATTTTATACACCTTTGGCCACGGAGGTGATTGGAACACCTGAATCCAATGATTTGAGGGATGTCCCAATACTTTGGCAAGATAGTGTATATTCAATAAGTGTCCATTCTAAGCTAATGGTGTAATGTTTATGCAAATGCAAAGTTCTATACAAGTCTAACAGCTTTATGAATATATCCCATTCCCATGAGAGTTATTTTATACAGCTTTACAGCCACTAAAGAGTATATCAATTTGTATTTCAGACAGCATAATAATCACTGAATTAAACGTTCTGGTATTTTTATTGGGGGGGGACTGCATTTATTTTTGTTTACGTGATTATCCCCTTAAAATTCAGATCAGACTCAAATGACCTGGTATTGTATGTATTTTGGGGGGGTTATGCATTTTTTTTTTTCCCATTCTTGCTGCAGGATATGCTACAACACAAAATTAAATTTTCAAAGAAAAAAAATGATACAGTTTAAATTTACGACAAATGGCATTCACTGGCAAGGAGCTATCGAACTGTCATTGACATGTCATAAACTGGTCATTTTAAAACATGTTTCCTTTGTAAATGTCAGTAGCCATATTTGGGTAGTGATGTCACTGCTATCTCTACCCCTTTACTTAAAGGAAGCGGGGATTCCC